ATGCACTGGAATGAGATCAGGAGTCCCCTCATTCTTTCTGCGATAGCAATAAAAAGCTGCGGTGACTTACGAAACAGCTTTCTGCTTTCAGTGTACAATGCTACGGCACGTCTAACGTCCACGGAATGGAACATGCGCTCCCTGTTAGTGGCATAGCGTTTAGGAAAGAACACAGGTAACAATATATCCTGGCTCACATGAAACTGGGAGACAACCTTAGGCAGGAACGCAGGGTGGGGGCGTAGCTGCACCTTGTCTTTATAAAATACCGTATAAGGCGGTTCGGAGGTCAGGGCCCTGAGTTCGGATACCCTTCAAGCAGAGGTTATAGCCACCAGAAAAGCCACCTTCCAGGAAAGGTAGGATAGAGGGCAGGGCCATGGGCTCAAAGGGGGGCCCCATGAGTGAGGACAGGACCAGGTTGAGGTCCCAGGGGGAATCGGCCGACGTGCCGGAGGATAAAGTCTGTCCAGGCCCTTAAGAAACCTGCCCACCATGGGGTTACCAAACACTGACCCACCCGCCGATCCCCGGTGAAAGACCGAAATGGCCACAAGGTGTACCCTCGTGGATGATTTTGCTAACCCTTGGTGCTTGAGATATAAAAGACAGTCCAAAATAAGGGGAATTGTGACCGATTGTGGCTCAGTTCCCCTTTGTCGAGACCAAATGGAGAAACGCTTCCTCTTAGCCAGGTAAGTGGCTCGCGTGGAGGGTTTCCTACTTCCTAACAGGACCTCCCTCACTGAATGCAAGCACTAGAGCTCAAGAAGGTTCAGCCATGGAGTTTCCATGCCATGAGGTGGAGGGACTCCAGGTTGGGGAGCTGTAGACGGCTGTGGTCCTCCATGATTAGGGTCAGAGAGAAAGGGAGCGCTACTGGTCTGCCCACTGAGAGAAGTTCAGTAACATGGTGAACCAGTGCTGGCGAGGCCACGCTGGTGCTATGAGGATCAGGGAAGCCCTGTCCTGATGAGTCTTGAGGAGCATTCTGTGTATGAGGGGGAATGGCGGGAACACGTACAGCAGGTGACCCATCCATGATAAGTGAAAGGCATCCACGGTGGAGCCTGGGCTGTGGTTCAGGAAGGAGCTGAATCTCTGGCACTTCCTGTTGCTCCACATCGTGAACAGGTCCATGTGGGGAGAGCCTCACCTCTGAAAAATTGAGTGAGCGATGTCCGGTCTGAGAAACCACTCATGTCCATGGAACGAATGACTGAGGCAGTATGCCTGCTCGTTCTCTGCCCCCGGAAGGTGCGACGCCTGCAGGTGTATGAAGTGGGTGATACAGAAGTCCAACAGCACGAGGGCTTCCCGACAGAGGGGAGAGGAGCGAGCACCCCCCTATTTGTTTACATAGAACATCGCTGCAGCGTTGTCCGTGAGCACTGACACGCACATGTCCTGAAGGCAGGCCTGAAATGCCTGGCATGCAAGGCGAATCGCCCTCAGCTCCCTCACACTGATGTGCAGCGATAGCTCTGCATGGCACCAGAGGCCCTGGGTTCTGGTATTGCCCAGATGCACTCCCCAACCGAGTGCGGAGGCGTCCGTGACCAGGGAAAGCGAGGGTTGGGGTTCTGCAAAGAGTACTCCCACACAAACCAGCTGTGGTTGCAGCCACCAGTGGAGAGAGTGAAGAATGCGAGGCGGGAGGGTCACTATTGAGTCCAATGGGTCCCTGCCCTGTCTGTGCGCCTGCGCTACCCATGCCTGGAGGGGCCACAGGCACAGCCTGGTGTGCTGTACCATGTATGTACAGGCCGCCATGTGCCCCAATAGTCTCATCACAGAGCTCCCCACGACTGGAGGATCAGGTGCCACCGACATCGGTGGAGGAGTGGCTGTGATTGTCTGTGGTCGCTCAACAGTCGTACTGGGTCCTCAGGGGCCCTAGGAGTGTAGAGTGCCATCAACATCGCTGATGGAGGGCACGGGGGGCCGATACCACCAATACCAGCCTAGATCCCTGACCTTGAGCCTGGTGGTAGGCTCAAGGGGTCCAAAAAGGCCATTGCACTGGGCCCTGCCACTGGGATGGCCAAGTAACAGCCAGTGCCGGTTGTTCCGCTGGCTTATGGTGTCGGGATCGGTGCCACGACCGGGAGTGGTAGTGGCTGTGTTGGGACACAGACGATTCTGCGTCTGACTCTAACAAGTACTCTGTACCCAACCATGGAGGAGCGGAGCCTGACGACGCCAGGGATCGGTACCAGGGAGACCGAGATTGGCGCCGTAACATCATGGGCTTTCTCTGATGATGAATCTCTCCTCGGCTTCCTGACAGGGGAACATCCCGTCTGGTTTCTTTTTCTTATGTGGTACCAGGGATTGTGAACAGTGCCGCCGCATGGTATGGGCCTTGCGGGCCGGGGAGCGGTGCTGGTGCTTCCTGGCGGAGTCCTTCCTCAGTGCTGGAACATCCAGCACCAAGGCCGGTGCGCTGCACACCGAGGATGCCGGTGTCAGCTCTGGCTGTGGCTGAAGGGTCGACTCCATCAGGAGGAGCTTCAGGCAATAGTCACACTCCCTCTTAGTCCTAGGTCTCCTTTAAATAGGATACTTATCTGTCTGATGGCCCTCCCCGAGGCACTTGAGACAGGAGGCGTGCGGATCACTTGTTGGCATAGGTTTTGCACACCTCTCACACGCCTTAAACCCCTGCGACCGAGGCATGCCCCAGTGCCGGGGAGTGAAGAGCCGGGGGAAACCCCCCTAAGTAAGCTAAACTAACCACTCAGTGACAGACTTGAAGGTGGCAATTTTGCAACAAAAGAACTTCAAAAACAGACTCCAAAGAGACACTGCTGAACTTGAATTAATATGCAAATTAGATACAATTAACTTAGGTTTGAACAGAGACTGGGAATGGTTGGGTCATTACACTAATTGAATCTATTTCCCCATGTTAAAATATCCACACACCTTCTATGGGTCATCTCGATTAACACTTCAAAGGTTTTTTTCTCTCTCCTGCTGATGATAGTTCATCTCACTTGATTGGCCTCTTACAGTTGGTATGGCTACTCCCACCTTTTCATGTTCTCTGTATGTATAAATATCTTCTTGCTGTGTGTTCCATTCTATGCATCCGATGAAGTGGGCTGCAGCCCACGAAAGCTTATGCTCAAATAAATTTGTTAGTCTCTAAGGTGCCACAAGTACTCCTGTTCTTTAATCTACACTATTAACTAACTAACAACTATTGAACTATTTACACGGAAAAACAAGGGAACCACTAGGTAAGACACTTGCAGAAGCAAGAGACTGAGCTGTTCCAATGACCGTCACAGGTGGTAAGAAGGAACTGAACAGGCGGCGGGTCGGCCATGAAGGCGCCACTCTAGGGGTCTCCACATCCGACCTGACAGGTACTGCTAGGGGAAAAGCTTTCCGGCAATCATGCATGCAGCGCGTGAGCAAATCACTCGAAGAAGAACTTATGTGACTTCTATGATCTTGACTAATAATTACTAAAGCCCCAAACTATCATTTTTTGTGTGAGAGAAAACGGTTATCTACCTCTTGTAACTGTTATTCTTCGAGATGTGTTGCTCATGTCCATTCTAATAGGTGTGTGTGCGCCGCGTGCATGATCGTCAGAAGGTTCTTCCCCTAGCGGTACCTGTCGGGTCGGCTGTGGAGCCACCTGGAGTGGCACCTTCATGGCGGTGTATATAGGTCCCTGCCAACATGCCGCCTGCTCAGTATAATATATTTGTCAGAAGGGGCACAGTTTACTCAAGCTTCACTATATTTAATTTCCAATCATATTAAAGCTTTAGCCTTTCTCAAAACACCATAAGCACATTTGAAATTTTCTAACTTCAACTAAATGTTTTCAATTCTCACCCCCTCTGAAGTTTTAACTTCAGCGTTCAGTGCCTCATATTTAATTCTAGCTTCACTCAGTATATACAGAAGTACCAGTCTCTTTACCAGCTACTTTCTGGCAAGTGGCCAGGTGCCACGAGTGGGGGAGGGAAGGTTACAGATATTGAGAACCTTCTTTAGGTGCCTCTTCCACCCCATCCAAGCAGAATCTGCTTTCAAAAACACCTCCAATGTGTTTGTTTATCCGTGACCCTTCTGCTGGCAACTCTATGAAGGTGAAAAGGAAGCAGCACAACAAAGAAAAGTCACAAATACTATAGAGCAAGGGACACTTGAGGAACAAAGCTAAGTTACTGCTGCACTTAACACATGATATTTCAACTTCCAGGCAAGCTGTTCAGTACCTTATTTTTTTAAGGTCCTATCTGAAAGACTCCTATACCGTAAGCTATTATATTTACAATATATCTACCTTAGAAGACGAAAGGCGCATTCAACCATGCCAGAATTTGAACCTGTGGTTCCAGGGAATCTGAATCAAATGCCAGACCAGTAAACGCTCACCTCTAATGATGTGAAAAACAAAAAATGCTAAAGTGCTGCTATCTTTAAAAAAAAAAAAATCAAAACCACTTTTTTCTAGAAAACAGGCTTAACAGATCAGCCAGGTCATAAATGTTTTTACCCACCTATAATGAGATAAAACTGTCACCATGAAGTGGCAAAGAAAAATCACACACACAAAAATAATTCCCACTAAATTCCATGGGCCTATGGATGCCAGAAGAGGATAGACAGAGCGAGACACATGAGGAGAAAAGTGATTTTCGAACTCTCTGTTTACCTGCCTTAAACCTATACTGTAAAAACCCTAGAATGCTGTAAAATAAATTATAAAAATCCTTCAAAAGAACATGCTGGTACACCACTATTGTTTAGTCATCTAAACTGTTATCCTCCCTTTAATGATAATGAGGCACACAGTGTTCTGCAAACGTTTCCTTTTATTTACTGTGCATATAATAATTTACAAACAAATATAAATCTTCAATTATATATACAAAGCGCTGTCCCCATTACCCTCAGTATTAAATTATTGTAGATACTCCTGGGTACATCAACCAAAATAGTTTTTTATGTATTAAGTAGCATTATATTTCTACCTTGCAAACAGCCTCTGTATCCCAAGGTAAAATGGTCTTCAGATCAATTACTTCGCAGGACACACCTAGCTTTTCCTGAGCCATGGTTGCCACCTCTCGGATAACATGCACCTAAAAATGCAAGATAATGCAATAGTTGAGCTATCTGAAATATTAAAGGGATGCTTAAAAATCTGTTTAATTATGCATTTAGAGTTTTAATAGTTTAATATTATTTTATTTCATGATAGTTTATCTGAGAAAATTTAGTATGGAACAACAAGCTACTTGTTGAGTACTTTAATAAATATCTAGTCCTTTGCTCTGTTTTTCTCATTTATTACTTCAATTCTGTGTTCAAAAACTAAGAAATAACTCTCAAAAACAATCTACAACTACCATTCAGGGAAAATACATTTTGTTCAACAGGAACATTTATCAAATTTCTGGCAAATATCATCCTTAAATGGACTGAATCAACCTTACTGTTTTAATATACTTTGCCATCCCTAACATTTTTTTAGATCTGTGAACAGACTAAGACCAAAACTACAGAGTAATAATTTTTATAATAGTAGAATGGGGGGGGGGGGGTTCACCAAGCCCAAAAAAAAAAAAAAA